ATAGCACATGAATGTGCCTCAATTTTAAAGTCACCAAAAAATTCTTTTAGGCCCTTAGTGAGTGAGCAAAAAAATGAAAGGGAAAAAATGAATGAGTGAAAAAAATGCAGAAAAAGGGGTTTTTTCTTAACAGCGGTCGGCCCTCGACAGGCAATGGCAAACCTCCGAGTGTATTCCTGCCATGAAAAACAGCTTCTCATAAAAATACACTCGCCATTCGGAGTCGGCGTAAAACTGTAGGTCCCTCCCCTTTGTGTGACAACATCAAGGGGACCGCCACAAATTGGAGGAAAAGCACATATGTGTAAGCGCCAAACTATTATTATTATTTTATATGAATTTTACTTCTTTACTACTGAAACATGTATATGTTTAAATTCGGGGGAATTTTGTGGGATAAATTTTAAAGATGTGGGTAATTGAGGGATTTTTTCCCCATTTCCGTGGGATATTTAACAGAGAATGTCTGGCATCACTGATTGGGGGCAGGGAAAGACAAAATCAACGGCAAGGACAAGAATAAATATAAAGATAAAGATAAACGTGCAATTTGCAGAAGAACTAACACTTCATATCCACGTTAGGTTGGCTATCTTCATCCAAGTTCCGGTGGGATTTTTATACCTTTACTATTCAAATGTTTGTACATTAGGGTGGCCCAAATTTTTTTTCTCCAGCCACCCCTAGATCTAAAGAATATCAAAAATAGGTAGACAGGTATTTTACAACGCTTTTATCAACTTACAATGTTGTGTGGTCGGACGCCATTTATAGCTAGAAAACCTGTGCTTTTCAAAGATCCTATAAAAAAAGTTTGGAAATGAACCTCGCCGGAAGGTATCATATCAAAGACTCTAGAGGAAGGTGTCGCCTGACCGCAAGCAGTTAGATATTGCGCCTAAAAATATGCACTACATTCGCTACAGCGGGAATGGACAGACGCCTTTTCTTGAAATGAAATTTATTGGTGCTCGTATGTATATATATGTATATATATATATATTGTAATAAATTTGATACTGACAAGACCAAAGAGTATAAAATAAATAAAATAAAATAAAAACGTTTTAATAAACCACGCTTTTACAAATGGACTATAAAGAAAAAAATAATATTTCTCAGTCCCATAGAATTTGGATTCTTTGATTTTGAAATTTTAGCAAAAGTCATTATAAACAATTTATGTGATTGAAAAGGAAATGCTTGGGGCTTGAATATTGGGAAAAAATTCGGATACTCTTAAAGATTTCATCAAGATTTCTGGTTTGCAGGGTATAGACATTGTTGCTAAGCATCTTTGGGACAACTTTATCTCTTTTATCCATACCTTGACTGATGATATTATAAACCAAAAACAGAAATATAGCCGATTTAGCAGCGCATGTGCACGACTAAAGATCTATCCGGATCCAAATCCATCAATAAACCGCCTTTTAATCCCATTTGACAATGTGTTTTCCCTTATTTGACGACTGGTAGCAGGAACTGTTATAAAATCGATGGTAAAAAGAAAAGTGATAATAAATGAACATTTTCAAAAAATTTTGCAATTTCTGAGGATATTTTTCGCATGCTTTTATCAATTTTATCAGGACAATGATCAGAAACATTTTCCGAAACTCTGGCTAAATAGGTATAAATCCCAAGTTTTTATAATCATGGAGTAAATTTGCGTAAAGCCCAGAATTGAGTCCGACAGAAAACTTATGGAAGTGTTTGAAAAAGCCACTGTTCAATTGCGAAAATTCACCCAATCGCATACAAGACTTCGGGTATGGCGTTGAGGAAAACCGGTGCGCAATCTCAACAGATTTCGTCTCAAAACTGTGCGAAAGTATCCCAAGATGACCATAAAAGTTGAAATATTCAAATTGGTTATGGCCAAATAATTAAAAGTCAAGCAAATGGTAAAATTTTCTAGCGGGTGTAAAACTCACACGATCCAGTTGCTACGTTAATTAATTTTTGGTTTTATGGTCTCCTGATGAAATAAACATTGGAAATGTAAAAATCCGAAGCTAGATTAAAAAAATAGTATTTTTATATCGCGAATATATCGCAAGAAAATTCACCTTATGTATTACTGTTCCGGTTTTGCTCCTCAGTGTAACTGAACTATTAGTGTACATTCATAGAGCGAGATATGCATTTTTGCACTTTAGCTCACCTGAAAAAAAGTTTTTTTTTCTCCACATACTTATTTTGTTTACACCACACTGTCCAGTTTTAATTGCATGGCTTGGTAACTGACCAACTTCAAGTATTTGTTCAGTAGACAAACGTGGCTTGCTGGTTGTTAAATAACCAAGGCCTCTGCTGTAATACCATTGTATGCTGACTATTACTGACCTGAAAAATAGTTCTCCAACTCAGCTCCGGCAATTGCCGGATAAGTGAAAGGTATCGCCAAACGTACGTGTACATAGGTATGTATGTATGTATGTATGTACGTGTTGGTAAAAAACACGTAAGCACGTACATATACACATATTTACCAAAATGCAAGGAAATAAAAAAATATCGGCCGTTTGCCGGTAGAACATTATAATCGACTTCTTCTATGTTGTATAAAAAATTCGTGGCGATATCAGTTGATGGTCTTTCTGCCAATTGTTAAGGTAAGGAGCTAAATTAAGATTTGATGACAGCTTCGGTCTCCGATATTTTTTTAGTTAAATATTCTGTTAAAATGGAAAAATCTGACGGACAAATTAAATCGCTTATTAAGTTATGACCTTCTGCCAGTAAACGGGTGAAATCTACATACATACATAAGTACTTACGCTGAAGCTTAATGAAAAAATCTTTTTTTAATAGAAAATATGTTTACAAAAGTAAAATAAAATTAGCCACAAGAAGTTTTGCTATGCTGGAGTGTCATAAAAGTGCATAATTTTTGCAGCTTCCTAGTCGGAAAAGTAGTAATGTATTACATGCGTGATTAATAAAAAATGTATTTCTTATGAGCTCTAGATTATATTACTGCTAACTATATAATCAGCACTCTACTGATGTATTCAAAAAGTTCCAAAAATTTCATATTAAAACACATTAATTTCTCGATACTAGGTAATGCAAAATTGAATGCTCCACTTTTATTAGGACATCGCCGCGGGGGGGGGGGGAAATGAAGTTTCGAATGTGAAAAGGGTTGCTATACTGATTATTTTTTCGATAACTATACATTACATTTTCCCACTGGGTGGTTACTGCGTTGCTGTGCGCCAACTAGTTTCAAAAGCCAGTTTACTTGCTATCTGCATAGATACAGACATACATACATATCAGATAAATGAAGGTAATTGAGCATCTATTCAAATGTGCATTTTGTAAAAGTATGAGTCATTGATTTTCAATTATCAGCAATTACCTATAATATGCATATACATACATACATACATTTGTATAAGAAATACAAGGAAGTGTCACATATGTTGGTGTGTTGCGAACGATGACGAGGGAAGTTTATGTAAGTAAATAAAGAAACGTTTTGCATGTATAAAAATTAGTAACAAATTTTCCTTTTATATAAGCTTCTACGATTATGTTGTATAGTGGTGACCCAGCATGGCGTTAAAAGGCCAAAATTGAATTTCAAATTTCTTCAAAAACCGAAAAAAAAAATTTCAAATGTTAGACGGAGCTAAAAGCCTTCAGAATGAAGAGAGATCTCGCATTGTAAAAATTGTTCTTTCCATCAAATTTCAAATCATCCTGTACTACTAAAATTATTTCTAACTGTTATTGCACATCTACAGACCAAACTCTTTAATCTGACATCTTATTTCAGCAATTCGAAAGATCTGATGACCTGCACAAAAAATGCCTGCGCCTATTAAATATATACATAGTAAGATACCCCGCAGGAAAAAAATTACCAATTGACTAAAAGAACCAACTTCTAGTTAGTTTTCTTGGGTACTTCGATAAATAACTAACTTTTGATTAGCTATGACTAAACTAACTTTAAGTTAGTTGTAAAGTTGCACAAAAACGAAAACAAATCGATTTAATAGTTTTCCAAATATCTCAAGAACGGAGGGAGGGAAAATTTGAAAACAAACACACATACATACATAAAAATTGTCTGTGAAACGAAATTATTTTATTTTTTTTTTCTTTAAAAATTTTTCACACACAAATTTTTTGATAAAAAAAATTAGTTTTTAAAAATATGCCATCTCAAAAAAAATTTTAAAAATTCACAGTGATAGCTCTAAGTATTGCGCAATATACATATGTATAAGTATAGTATTACGGGGTGCACTCTACAATAATTTGTGTTATAAATTTTTTTTTACTCCGAAGTTGAGTAAAATGATTACATTACAAATTTGCAAATTTTTTAAATTTTTTTTAGAATTTTTTTGAGTATGCAGTTTTATAGCCCACTAAGTTTTAGTATAAGGAAGTATTTATTTTTCTTTGAAAATGGTTTAGCGCATTTTCTTCCAAAAGAAAAAAGTGCAAAAGCTGCCAGCATAAAAAAAAATTAAAAATCAACGCGATTTTGCAGTAGCTTATAACTTGCAATTTATTATACTAAAATTTAATGGGCTACAAAACTGCATTCTCAACAACTCACGAAATTCTAATGCCAGGGTGGGCAAGGAAGATTGTTTCGTTATCGCAGAGGATCTCTTATATGTGTATGCTTTATTTTAATGGTGACACGTTTTATATATATGCACAGTGCATATCATCGTTTAAAGTACAAAACCGCATATGGTCATTCTGCAAAACCGCGTAACTGACATTAGCTGCCAAAAATTGGATTTACTCGCACAAGCTCTGGGCTCAATCCTTGTCCATTCGTCCTGAAATATTATAGCCAGAAATGCGATTGCTTTATAAAAAAGAGAACCATTATGAAATATGAAAATAATTTATATAATTCACATACGCGGTATTGCATTTTGTTGATACGCGGTTTTGTACCTTAAACGACGATATGTAAGCTTAGTAGCCATATAATTAGTGAACTGCCTTTGTTTTACATTTTATTCATTAAACTGCAACACCATCATAGAAATGCTGTAGATCGTTCGTGTAATCTAGAAATATGTGAAAGAAAAACAAATGGATTGCATATAATGGTGTATACATAAAATGTCACAACCAGTCATATTGGCATATCCCATTAATTTTGTAAACTCTAAAAAAATGTTTAAGTAATTTACAGGTGCCTTAAAGTATTTTCAATCGTTCTCAAAGCTATGACTTCATAACAATATGACTGTTATGACCAGGGCCGAAGAAAATAACTAAAAAAAATCAATGCGCTTAGGTAAGCACTAAAACATTAGTAAATATGCTTGCAAATATGCTCGAAAAAAAAAACAAAAAAATGTTTAAGTACAGTTTAATGTTTTGTTTTTTTATTCAGTTTATTTCAAGGATAAAAAATTTACATGGGACAACCAAGTGTTGCTTCATATTCTTAAATAATAGAGATCTGCGCCGGTCGTTTTATTTTTTTTTTAATATTATAAATTTAAATATTTATTTTTAAATAATAAATCTCTCTCTCTACGCGTTTCCCGTAGAGACAAACTTTTGGCTTTAAATTTTTGTACCCAAGCAGAGATACAATTGCAGTTACATTGAAGTGGTAGTATCAGTAGGGCAGCTGAAAGGATATTTTTTTTCAAATTATTTGGTCTCTAAAATATCAAATATTTCTAGTTTCTTCTCAAAAAAACCTTTTTTCATACAAAACAAGCACTTGAATAGTAGCTTTAGGAATATTCAACCAACTCAGCAGCAAAAAGGCTGATAAGAAAAAAGTTGAAGCAATTATTATTTATTCCAAATTTAAATTTTTAATTTTTTATGTTTTTTTTTTTGTATTTCACATAGCACACTTTGATTTAAAAGAAAAAAAAAACAGGACAGTTTTTGACACTAGATACCAGAAGCAACAACAAAATGTGGTTTTTGCTCTACCTGTTTGATATGCCTTGATTGAGCCAAATTTTTTAAGCAGTACGAAGATGTCAAAACTCCTTGGACACTACAAATAACACACACACGAAATAACAGCAATTTATTTCTTCACCGTTTTCTGAATAAGCAAAATAAGTAATTCCAAACAAAAACTGAAACTTTTCGGCCCTGGTTATGACACTTCAGCACTACACATATCTACATATGTATGCACATATTTTGTCTCACCTTAAGCGCAGTATTCACCGATAGTGGCTCAATTCCAGCAATAGTAATAATGCGTGGCACCTGAGCTTGCGTGAGCATTAGCAGTACGGTCTTCTGATCGGCAACCTCCAAATCATACCATTGAACGTCGTAAATTCCGTCACAAAATTGATCATTCTTAAAAAAAAAATATATATTGCCTAACAGTGGTGTACTTTTTTTGTAATGTTTAAATACTTACGCATATTTCAACACGCGTGCCCAATATTGAATACATATATAACCAAACAAAGCAAACAAATATATAAGCGTAACCACTGGGCCAGTACCTTAGCATGATGATCAGCAAGGTGCTCAAGATGCCCATTGTCGTGCAGATCATGTGGGATGTGATGGTCCAAAAGAAAATGAAATTGCAATTATCATTGAACCTAAATATTTGCCAACATTTTTTTAATAAACAAGTCAATTCTGTATATATATATCGAGCCATAAGAGCATCTAGATGCATTTCTTCATCAAAAATAACAGTTTGAAAAAAAATAAAATCGGTTACAACTCTTTGGTGGTTAGGACCCGATATGTGTGTGTATTAGGGCGGGTCAATTTGTGTGGGAAATTTTTCCGACTATGCGCGTATAGCACAGAAGGATTCTGCGTGTAATTCTAAGCAAATTTGCCGAAGAAACCATGGCCTTAAAATCAATTTGGAGTTTGCCAAATTACGAAAATAGGTTTCTTAGCATTTTGTTGTAATATCGTAAAGAGGTGCTTAAATTTTATACAAGAACATGCTATAAGGAGGTTTTTGGTATGACGAATCCATTTATGCACTTATCTTTTTCTTGAAACTTCCACCAGGGGAAATAACAGTGAAAATTTTCACATTTTCTTCGAAACCTATTTTCGCAATTTAGCTAACTCCAAATTAATTTTAGAGCCATGGAATAGAGTCCTCCTATGTTATACGCGCTTCGCCGAAAAAAAAACTACCCGCCCTAGTATGTATATCTCAGGGCTTACTCCAAGTAATACTGATGCCATTCTGCAATATCATTCAGCGTAGGTGTTATTCGTTTATCCTTTGCGTTCTGTTGCAGCAATTCACGCAGATCACTCACTTTCAATTCGAAGATGTCATAAAAGAAAATCGAGTGTGTTAGAAAGAGAAAAATATACAAGTCAGCGGAGTACAATCCAAATGCCGCTATGAATACACATAAAATATTGTAGATGATCGTAATAAAATAGCCCTGGTTAGTGGTCGCATCTATATATGGCATTTGACACATAATAATTAGATGTCTTTCGCCTTTTAATATATACAAAACAAGTGGTATGACTAATGCTATCCAGGCAGAAACGAAGTATATTAATCCGAGAATGATTAAAATCCTCTTCATATTCTTGTTACATTCTTGCAATTTCTTCTCGTATTTCTCATCCATAGTTTGGTATTTCTCATAGATTTTACCAAGTTCCTGTGCGAGTTGTCGATATAATTTCGGATAAAATATAAGCGAACTCAATTTGACTACGCCTTGTGTTGCACAGCTAATTGGTGAAAATACATCTAGCAGCACAGTCCAATCTGTGGAAAAGTTTTTGTAGATCATATTTATCGAACATAAAAAATTCCAAGCAATGGCTATGAACACGAAAGCAGTAACTGGATTAAATTTATAATCCGGGTTAAGAACATCTATGCCAATTAGACGCGAACAGAAACGAATTACGGTGAGCATTTTAAAATAGTTATCAGAAGGACGCGGTAGGTCTTGCATGTTGAACTAAACTGTTGAACAAAAAGTACTTAGTAAATCTTTACTCCCTCAAATGTAGGCGATTTCAAGGTGTGTAGAGAAAAGATTTCAAGTACTCTATTCAAGTCCCTTTGAAATAAATACTCCTGCTATACGTACAAATGTATGTATGTATGTGTGCATATGCCCTGTAGGGAAAGCTACTAGTTGAGAACTAGAATGCTACCAGTTTGCGTTTCAGCTCAACTAAATAGTTCGCGTTCTATAATGTTTCAATATTTGCGAATGGTATTTTTAACATGTCCTACGAGATGTCAATTGTCTAGCTATGCATCAGCACCTACCAGTACAGATACTAGTAGCATTATACCAGTTGATGGGATAGTCTACCAATTCATGCCCTTTAAAAGGCATAAGTATGCCATTTTTTTTAACTTTGAACGCTGAAGTTATTCGAAATTGTCGAACTGGTAAGCCATCGCTTTAGCACATACTAGTTAATGAACTGGTATTTTTTCTGACTAGTTTGGCTTTTCACTGCAGAGTGTATATGCAGTATGTATGTATGAGTATTCGTACGTTTATCAGACTTGTTAGAGCGGTCATTGCGACATATTAATAGAGTCGTTAACTTTAATTGTTCAGTTAATTGCTGGACTATTTTATGTAATGTATTATGTAATGGATAATGATCTATCAAGGACACACATACACTCCCATGCATTTGAATAGGGACAATGCCTTTTCGCTTTTTTCTCAAGGTTATTTTTATTTTATTTAATTCCCTCCCTTTTCCAATTAAAAAATGACCGCTTTCGGCAGAGGCACCAAAGTTAGGGCGTGTAAGGAATGTTGCATAATTTCACGTGAGAGAAACCGTTGTACATTGTGAGTGACCTCTTTGAGTGAGTGTCAGGAGGAGGAGGCCCATTCCTCTAACTAATCTGAGAGAAATGAGGAAATTGTTTTAGTGTTAGGCAGTATCGATACCAAAAGTACTCAGACCTCGATTCTCAAAACAGAACCCGATTTTCAAAAGTGTCGATACTGAGTACTTCAAAGTAACCTACTCAAACAATTGCTCTTCCAAATGAAATTGAGGATACCCAAGAATTCCACCAGCATTATCACCGCCAAACGGTTGAAGAAGCTTGATCCCAAGTGCTTGGGATGCTTCGGCTGTAGGTCCGTCCGACAACGCAGGAAGTGGTCAAATCGTCGATGTTATAGTATTCGCCATCGTTGGATCATTGGTGCAATATCGAAGTGATCCTTAAAAGCGGCGGTAAGGACTCTTACTACGGATATGTTAAGCTACAGAAAGTATTATTCTGTTTTCTAACGTGTCTGCTCCCTCATCAGCCGATTCTTCCGTTTAATACATAATATATATGTTATTTTCCGTGACCCAGCCAAGCGTGAGGTTGACATGGTTCGGTGATGCCAAGGTGGTACAATATTTCTATACAATCCCCGATTGAACTATTTTATATTCTACTGATTGAATACTGACAAAGATAGTAGCTTTCCCGTTTGGAACCGTGATATACTGTAAAAGGCTCGCCACCTTCTCTATAGATTAGGTCTGAAGCTCACTCGGATAGAGATTGACTTCGGCGTTCTTTCTTGTGATGCTTACGAGCTGGTAAGAGAGGAAGGCCTCCTCTGCGTTGGAAAGACCAGGTCCAGAAGGACTTGGCTTCACTTGGCATTTCCCATTGGCGTCAGTTGACACATAAGAGAAACGACTGATTTGCTGTTTTGGACTCGGCCAATATTACGAAGTAGTGAAGGGCTTTGTTTAGAAAGTATGCAGCATTAACAGCACCAATATTGCCAGACTGGAGATAAAGCGAAGAATAACCCTTGCCATTAGGTGCTGCTTTGGGCTCGGTTAGCAAATGAAAAGCAGAGCTCGCTACCTCATCATGCCCGTCCTTTTACATATATGGCGCAGAAAAAAGGAAGATGTTGAACAAAGATGAGAAGGATTTCGGGGTAGTGTGCACCGAAGTAGTTGAAAGTAGCTCTATAATGACATGGCCATAGTTAAGCGCGTAAAAATACGTCCACTATGCTTACGGCTGCTTAAAATAGAGTGCATCGGGAGTGCTGATGAAATAGGCGCCGAGGTGTTTAAACGTTAGTGTATAGCGAATGCCGAGTAACTGAGAAGAAAGTGCTGAGATGATTCAACCTCGCCGTCTAGGCAAATGCAACAGAAGGGGTTTGTGACGGCGTTAAGTCGCACCGAAAGTATACCTTTGATAATCGAAACCTTGATTGACCTTGTAACTATGCATGCCGGGTTTAACCCAGCGCTCGCTTAGTTGACTGTGAGTCCATGTGTCAAAGAGTAGACTGCAAGTTGCAAAAGATACTCCTATGGCCTGCTTGCCCGAGAAGATGGCCTGCAAGGTAACCTGCTTTGCCAATTAATCAGCCCTGCAATTCCCAGTGATGTCAATGTGTCGTGGGACCCAAATCAGCTAATTTGGAAATGATGTATTGTGGAACGCTTTTCCATCATCCCTTGTCAAATTTGGTTTGGAGACAAACCGGTTTCGGTGTTGTGCCATCTTTAGTGTCATTTTTCGTCCTCGAACCAAATTTGACAAGGAATGACGAAAAATCGTTCCACATACAGTACATCATACTCCTACCCTGTCGAAAACACAAACAACCAAAAAGAAGTAATTTGGAAATACTCCGATGCGATTGAGATATAGTTGAGGAATTCCGCTACCAATTTCGATCGCACCATGAGTAATCCCAAGGTTTTGATTTGATGATGATTTTACTCGACAAAATACGGGAGCGTAGCCAATCGACTGCCTCTGCTGAAAGTCGCTGCAAAGATCCCGACTACAGAACTCAAATTCAGAACAAACTTTCACTCTGTCATCCAGCTTCGATCGCTCCGCGAAGATATTTATAGGACCGCTACTCAAGGGGCAGTCATGTTCCCATTCGCTACTTGATATAATGTGTTTGGCTAAGTATCTGTGCGAGCAAGCCTCGGAAGACTCTGATTCATTTTCTCCGGTTCGAAGTCAAAGCTTTTGAGGATTGTCGAGTGCCCGTAAGCCGTGTTGAAGGAGAACCCAGAGCTTTTAAACCTAATGGCGGAGCAAACTGTAGCAAATTTTCGCGCAATGTCAACAGGTACGACACTAAGCATAGCTTTAAATGCTAGAGTTGGAGTGATCCGGAGCATTCCGATGATTTCAACGAGAGCTGCCTTCTACTCGTGGTCTAGACAATGACCTTATATAACATAACTGGAGGGATTGCGGTTTCACAAAACCAATACAACATCTTTTGAGAAAGGCCGCTTTTTAGGGAGCCACTAATGTCTTGCTTGTTCTACCCTCCATATTTGGCTTCCACAATCGCTTCCTGTCCAGGATCAAGTCCATAAACTTTACACTGTCAGAGAGCATAAATGCAGTGCAACTATCCCAGTTAAGGGAAGCTGGATATGCAGCACTTTATGTCTATTGGTAAATAATACGAGCCCATCGTGCGGAGTCTCCAAGAAAATTCGCCTGACGGTAACAACCCGACAGGCTCTCCTTTTCAGCTCTTCCAGGACGTCGTTTACCACGACTATCCATAGAAAGGATGAAAAATGAACACCTCCCTGCCGAGTACCCCTGCTCACTTACTCTCGACAGAGGCGTTACACCATTCCGGCATAACAGTTCTTGTCGTGAACCATGCGGGAGATTAGCCTAACTAAGCAGTTAAGACTCCGAGTTTAATCAGGGTTTTTGTTATCGCCCTAGGTAATACATAAGCGAAAGCCGAAGAGGTTTCTTTAATGAAATAAGTCCGAAGTAATTATTTATTCGAATTTCATTTATTTATTTTGAAAACGTAGCACCATCATGACGATGCTGTAAATCGTACGAGTAATCTATATGTAATAACAAAAAAATAAAACAACGAATTATAGATTTTATTAGTTACTACACCGAAATGCTCACTTATGCTAACATACCTTAAGTGCTGTGCTCACTGATAAGGGCTCAATTCCCGCAATAGTTATATTACGTGGCGCCTGCGATTGCATTAGCATCAAACGAATGGCCTTCTGATTGCGTACATCAAGGCTATACCAGTTAATGTCATAGATGCCAGAGCAAAACTGATCATTCTATGAGGAAACATATTCGTACATTCAAACACATGAAATCAACTAAGACAACGTTCAATAACTTTATGCTTACACATGTTTCAATGCGTGTACCCAAGATGCAATACATATACAACCAAAGAAAGCAGACCAGTATATACACGTAAGCACCAGGCCAATCCTTCAGCATGATTATGAGCAAGGTGCTCAAGATGCCCAATGTAGTGCATACAATATGCGCAGAGATAGTCCAAAAGAATAGCAAATTGCAATTATCATTGAATCTGCGTTAAATCGAAATACGAAAATATACGTACATACATACAAAGCATTCATTAGTGAATTCAAGCAGTACACAGCCATCCGATGGACACTTACGTTAAGTAGAATTGATGCCATTCCACAATGTCATCAACCATTTTGGTTATGCGCTTATCATGAGTATTCTGTTCTATCACTTCATGGAGGTCACTTACTTTGAGTTCGAATATATCAAAAAAGAATATTGAATGCGTTAAATAAAGAAATAAATACAAGTCTCCAGCATATAATCCGAAGGCTGCTATTAGAACACACATTGCATTAAAGCCGTTATTAACCCAATAACCATGCGGTGAATTAATATCGAAACCGGGTACTTCACATAACAATACCTGGTGCCGTTCGCCTTTGAGGATATACAATACCACTGGTGTGCATACAATTATTAGCGCCGTTATCGAATAAGCAACTCCGATTGTAATTAAAATCCTTTTCATATTCCTATTCCATTGCACCAATTTTTCCTCGTATCTCCTGCCCATTACTTGGTATTTCTCATAGATTTCTCCAAGTTGCACAGCAAGTTTACGATAAAGCTTTGCGTACAGCAACGCCGACATCAATTTCACCATACCTTGAGCGTTACAGCTTACAGGTGAGAAGACATCCAACATCACTGTCCAATCCGTAGCAATATATTTGTTGATCGTATACACAGAGCAAAGATAATACGCGAAAATAGCTACCATCACAAACGCAGTTTTTGAATTGACTTTGAAATCCTTGGAGGTTACGTCAACGCCAAGCAATCGAGAGCATATTTTTATAACCAAAAGTATTTTATCGTAAACATCAGATGGGCGCTCTGGCTTTAGCCTTGGCATCTTGCGACAAAATCAGCGAATTTCCAAAGGTATCAGAATTTATTTTGAATTTATGTTTGTTACTTGCATCGGTGTCAGCTTGAGTTAGAGGAATGTGAGAAAGTAAATTAAACTATGTACAAATTTATAGGAATATGCCGTTTAAGGTTTGGTCACTCTCCCACGAACGTCTGTTAGCTTCCGCATGTTCTTGACATGCTAATAGAGTTATTATCGCCTTATTGTAGTATACGAAATGCTGGCAGATATAATTGATTGCAATTAGTGCGGAGGGTATTTTGTGTTCCAATTTGAAAGATTGCTTTGCGTTGCTGACACCATTCTACGCTGACATATTTACTGATATTGCCAACAACTTAATACTGAAAGGGGAACTGTGCAGCAAGTGAACGACTGTCGAGAAAATTTAATAAGTCCTTTTTATTGAGAGCTAAACTTCAGTGTCTGCCGTAGCCGCTTGTTTAGAGTTTCGTGCTACAACTTTGGTAGAACTCATAGCTGATGGCCTTTTCGTGCAACACCCAAGTGTTTGGAGTTCTATAACACTTTTGTAAGGCATATCTGGTCAGCGTGTAAAAGAGTTCGAAAAAGTCCCTTTTAATAATTAGGAAGTACCACTGTGCGCTGGCTGGTAAATAAAATAATACAGCGAGTCCTTAATGAAATAGTAATTTTTTAAAGAAGGCAAAGCAAATCCTCTATGCGATCAATTGTAATAAGAACAAAATTTCAAGTCACAGATAGTCCTAAAAGACTTTGGCAGCTATCCCATTAGAGCGAATGCTATCCATACCTGTTCGCGTGTTTTTTTTTTTTTTGATAGTAAACTTGAAACTACCTTTTACAAACATATTTACATATGTACATATGAATGCCCATTAAGGGCGCTGAGCCGGCAAACCTGCTCAAATGGCTCAAGAAAAGCATTAAAAGCTCTATGATAAAAAAGAAGCATCGACGACTAGGAAGCCTTAAAGCGAAACCACAGACGACCGTAGAAATATGATTACTCTAATGGGGATTATATTTAATTACATACGAGTATACATACTACATACATATGTATAAATACAAATATATAAGTATGTATATACATATGAAAATATGACTAAAAATACAAAGCGTTCGCTGACTGATGAATGGAAAACTATGAATACAATACAGTGGAAAAATATAATTAGGGAAGAGACATTTTGGTAAGTTTAGAGCATTCTTCTTTGTTTAAAAATGTTCATTATTATTATAATTTTTTTTTTGTGAAAGTATAGCTTGCTATCTAAAAAAAAAAAAAAATTTGAAAACTTTTTAAGTATACAGTTTTGTAGCCAATTAAACTTTATCGTAATAAAGGGTAAATTTGAAATAGCTAGAACATGCTGTTCATTTTTGGCTATTTTTTGTTCACCCATTTTCTTCTTTACAAAGTTTGTTCGACTATTTTTTTTTTGTATGGAGCAAATAAGCAAGAACTTTTACAAAAAAAAAAGCTAAACATCAGCAGTAAAGCTATTTCAAATTTGCCCTTTAATTGGATGGTCTACAAAACTGCATACCCAGAATGTATCGAAGATATCGAATTAAAAAACTCTAAATTTTAATGCAACTTTGTCGAACATAGCTTTTGTTATATAATAAGCTACACTTTCATATGCAAACATTTTACTTTAAATAAAAGAAAAGAAAATAGGAAACAAATGCTAAAATTTCTCCTCTTCTCTACTTATATTTTCGCCACTGTAGTTTCATTGAACCAAGAAGTACCAATGGGCTATTATTATTTCATGTGTGCTTGGGAATGTGTGTACATGCATGTATGTTGGCTTCACACACATATGTTAATGCGAAAGCAATCAAAGCAATCCATAAATCATGCATAGTTAGGTACATAAATACCTATTTGAAAAACAATACGCACACAATATTTAGTAAGGTAAGGTATCATTACAGCTGCCGGAAATAGCTCGAATCGCCATAGTGCACTACCATGGCTAATTTTATGTTTAAATGGAATTTGCAGAAGAAAAGAAATCCAACGCGTAATCAACCACACTATATACATATAAACAAATGGTGCGAATTGAATTAATCGATTTTTTTTTTGTTTTGTTAATAGCATAGCACAAGGATTTGTTTATTGTGGGAACTGAGCCATTTTTGATTAATGAACTTATTAAACTTTTGTTCTTTGTGAATAATTACGCTTATTGAGTTTGAGTGCCGACATATACATAGCAGGTCATACATACATATGTATAAGATAATCGAATTCAATTTTCCTAACACTTCCATTTGTTTGGCGCTGTAACTGCCTGAGCGATTTGGACCAAGTCGAATAAGTGCCCCAGCCGTTCGCTAGCATACGCCAGCAATTGTATGCTTTAGCAAAAGTGTTGTGCCTTAGTAAAGAAATCACACGACAGAAAGTCGCCCTCTCTGAAACCACGGAAAGGTCCTTCCCAATTCTGACGAAGCTGGTGGCCTTGCTCATTGTCATTTTACACAGCCGAATCTGTTTCGCGGGGATACCAAATTCACACATCGTAGCGTATAAACAACTCCTCTTAGTGCTGTCAAAAGCGGCTTTGAGTGTTGATCCCTTTCTCGTGAGTCTTTCCAAGGTTTGGCCGGTGATCGGCGACGGGGTCTTTCTCCAACTACGAATCCAATACCAAATTCGCGCTCCTTTACGTGGCAACTGTAGAGACGTCGCAAGGCTTACCTTGCCCTGCCCCTACGATCGCATTTATTGGATGGCGATGATTACAGCCTGTGTCAAGGGGCCGGATCTTACAGGTGCATACTCTCAAATCATAGGCTTTAATACGTTTTTCGTGGTCGTCATCAGAAAAAGGGGGTTTCATCCGAGGCTGTTTATTCGTTTTCATTGGGCGGGGTTTTAACGTGGCGGTACCCAAACCCAGCGCACGCGAAGTTTTACGCTCTCTCACCTTAGCTCGCACCCAAACTCGTGTTTGGTCGCTACCCAGAGGATAGGGTTGATAGGGCAGATGAATGGCGGTCAAAAGTTTTTCCCACTTACTTGGACTGCTGCATACGGAGGCATCCTGCAGCCCCATATATTTCCGTAGAACCTCAATTTTCGGTATGAGACATTTATGAATAGACATAAATTAAGAAAAAAAAAAATTGGCATGATCTATTTATTTTAAAGCATGCTTCCCATATAAATCTAACCTCAAAAACGTCTCAAAAAAGCTGTAAAAAGTGAACCGATGAACATATAATTCTGAAATTTTGTCCATATGTTAGTAATAATATTATAACTAAACATCCAAAAAATAGGAGTAATCGATTTATTCTAACATATACCTCCTATGCAAACTTAGCCCCAAAAACGCCTTAAAAATACCATAACTGCCATCAGTACTATATGAGGTTACGTTAAAATTCGCAAATATGTGCCAATTTTTTTCTGAAATAGTAGGAAGGCGAAGAAAGATTAAGTTTTCGTCCATCAAAAGTGTCAAAGTTAGCATTTGTAAAGTGTAATTTTTTTCTCTAATCTGTCTACTAAGTAAGTGCTACATTTTCATATCAACCTACAACAAAAACAATAAAAACAACGTTACAAAAATAACAAATTACCTAAATGAACAAAAATCTCAATTAATTTTTAATAAAAATTTAATTTTCAAAAAATTGTATATTTCGCGCCGAAGCACCACTGTGCAGCGCCTTGAACACATTTACTAAACACTTTCTTATCGCAAACATTTTTCTCTTTCTCTTTTCAGTTACAACGTCTATTACTTTTCACGCTGCTATATGGTCTGGCCATTGCCCAGGACTATCAAGACTACCAGGAGAACACCCCGCGTCCTGCACCAATAAGACTGCGTCCCAACGCTGGTTTGGCAGATGCCCCGCGGCCCACACCCGTGCCCATTCTGAAACAAATCAACAAGTAAGTTACCCGAAAGGCAGTCAATTTCGAGAAAATCTTGATTTATTTTTTCAACTTTGCAGACACAATGAAGACGGTTCCTACACTTATGGTTATGAGGGCGCAGATGGCTCATTCAAAATCGAAACAAAGCTGGCGACCGGTGAAGTGAAGGGCAAATATGGTTATGTGGATGAAACCGGCAAGGTGCGCGTCGTGGAATATGGCGCAAATCAATATGGCTTCCAGCCATCTGGTGAAGGTATCACTGTAGCGCCACCCACGCTAGTGGATGAAACAGCAAAGGAGGAGCCAGACTATGAAGATGAACCTGTGCGTCCTCAGCGTCCTTATGTAAGTGAGAATACAAACGCAATTTAGTTTAACTTTAGCTATCGTCAAACTTTCTACATATTAAAGCGTCCACCACGCCCGCAGCAACCGCGTCCTGCACCTGCACCTGCACCACGTCCACAGCCACAACCACAGCCGCAGCCACAATACTTCCAATATGAAGAGGAAGTTGAGCAGGAACCAGAGCCACCACGCCGCATTCAATATGCACCACAGCCACAGCAAATTTCCGCCGGCCCAGCGCCACCAAGAATACAAGTGCCAGGTGCGCAACGTTCCACCGACGTCTTATATTCACCACTACAACGTCCAGCACGCCCTGAACCGGATTATTCACAAACACAGGTATGCGGGCGCATACTATCTCTGGTTACGAATTTTTTCAATTAATTTTTTTTCATTTATTTTTCATACGCACAGAACTTTGGCGGTGGCCCATCAAATGTACGCATCTCCCGACCCGTCTATGCACCCGCACCGGTACAACCTGCCCCCGCCAGTGCACGCGCTAACAACTTCTTAGGTCCGCCATCCGGTGGTCGTCCCATATTGGATCAGTTTGGACCAGCGCCGCAGACACGTCCGGTGCAACAGGCCGCACCAGCGCCGCTACCCCGCTATCAACCACAGATCAATCATCAACCGCAGGCGCAGGGACGCGCTGGTGGCGGTGGTGGCAGTTTGTTGGATCAATTAGCGCGAGATTATGCTCTACCACAAGGCAATGCCCAGCCTTTGCATGATATTTCATTTGGTTACTATTGAGCGGATAGTCAACGTGGGCTTTTCGGAGTTTTGTAAATGTATGTGTATAGTATTTTAATAAAATCGAGAAACTGAGATTGTAAATCTTTGTAAAATTGCCAGTAAATGATTTCCAAGTTATGTGAATGAGAAAATCTTCTTGTCGATTTGTACTTAAAAAAAAAAAAAGTAAGTGCGCCTGGGCCACACTGTAGAAGTGAAACTTACGTTACTTATCTATCTATACATACACACATCAGCTTTTGCTTAAGGTTATATTTTTTCGATTTTTTTCTATCAGTGTAGATCCCTACCTCTACCGGTGTTCGTTTTAATAACATTCATGTTATTCTGTTTTTCCATTATCTTCATTTTTATCTTCATACTCTATCGATATAACGTCCATCAAAATATCGATAATAAAATCGATGACAAATTCGACAAAGATCGATAACAAAATCGACAAAGATCGATAACAAAATCGATAAATATCGATAGCAAAATCGATAAATGTCGATAACAAAATCGATAAATATCGATAACAAAATCGATTTATATCAATAACAAAATCGATAATTATCGCTTAAGTCGATAAATAACGGTAACAAAATCGATGAATATCGATAACAAAATCGATAAATATCGATAACAAAACGGATAAAAATATCGATTATTTAATCGATAAGTCTCGACAATCTCTAAAATCCCAAAATAGTTCCCAGATTGAGTCTCTGTGTCTCTCTCTATACCCTTTCCTCCTTAATTACATTTATTTTAATCTTTCTTCCCCTATCTTCATCTTTACTTTTATCGGTATCCTCATCCTGATCTTTGTTTTTACTTTTATGTTTATCATTTTCTTCATCAACATATTCCCCTTCACCTTTGCCCTTATATATATAAGTAAAGTGTTTAAATTTACCTGGGTCTTCATTTTTTATTGGTCACTCATTATATGGACAAACCCGATTATCACATATGCAGCACTGGCCTAGTGGCCAAAAGTCAGGCAAAATGGTTATGGCGCTGGGGAAGTTTACTGATGAGTCTGTGCAGCCATTACAGGAGCCACGTGAATCTGCTCGGCAAAAGAACTGGTAATCTTTACTTCCATACTTATTGACAATGAGGCTTCCGGTGGCGCTTTGCGTTTCAGCAACTTAGTGAACACAAGGCTTATTGACTTTCATAAGCGCTTGTTGGTTTTAAAACCATTCTTTGAGGATCAAACCTTCAGATAAAATGCTACCGTAATTAGTCTTGAACAAGCCCTATAAGGTAAAGATTCTTGAAAGGGACACTGTCAGAGTGTGGTATACTGCTGGATGTGTGCTCGAAGTTGGCAATGCTGGTACCGGGGACGGACAGAACTAAAATTACTTGGGTCAGAACGGGGTTTATATGGTCCCAATAGAGTTATGTAGCCTTTCTGAGCTCCTAAGGGAAAAGGCACCCTGAAAGCATTATAACATCCTCTAGGACAATCGCGGAATGATTTCTGGATTTAAGTCGAGAGGGTTTCACGGACTACCTGACCTTGACTAACTTGAAGTTCTGCCTAAAATTAGGAACATGGCATCCTATAAAATGCCTAATTTCATAAATGCCCTAAGGATGGAGTAAATTTGTGTGAGGCCAGCTCACAAAACACTCAAAAAATTGGCTCAATAAAAATTTTGTCAAAATGTATTGGAAAATATCTAAACAATGAAAAAAAGAGTTCAAAGACATTTTGGTAAATTTTTTCTGTTTTTGTACTCTTTTTGGTACGCAAAAAAAGAAGTAAGTGGCAACCGTACCTGTGGTAAGTTATTTTTACGAAAACTCTTTTTAATACGAGTACATATTTCCTCTTTTTAGTTTTCATGTTTACCTACATACATAGATATTTGATTTTTAAGATTGTGTGCTATTATAGCCACAGTGCGCCGTCGCAGAAGCTTTATCAGCAGCAAATACGATGGCCTTCAAACTGTTTTGATTCGTACACACGGTACGCTAAAGTAGTATGCGGCGAATATGTATTGCCTGCTTTTAGGCGCTAAAAGAAAAAACAATGCTGCCTTTTTATATATAGTATATTACAAATTACATCATTTATTGTACAAAATTTACGAACAATGAAGGAGCAATAAATGTAACTATTTTTTTAAACAGAACAGCACAATATTAAAATAATAAATACTTAAACCAACAAAGATGCAAAAATACGTAAATAATCGAATTTAAAGGTTTTTCATAAAAGAAGGGACCCGACAGTCGGCTTCACATACACAGAGGCGAGCAGGGCAGAGGCGATTCGACATCAGGCTGTTGCGGTCCAGATTAACAGAAAGTTGCAGGCAAGCGAAGACATGACACCCACGTTATGTATTCTGGATTCCAGTTGTATATAGTTTATAAGATTTTCGTGTAATTCATTGGATCTTGAAACAGAGAATGCACTTTACTACTGATAGTAGAACTCTGTAAAGAAGATGACGTTTTAAAAAGAACTATTTATGTAAGTAAACGGGTTGTAAGAATTAGGTAAATGAAGCACTTAAAGAAGTGAGGTTTGGCTGAGGATGACGGAGCAAAAACTAAACTAAGTGCGGGAGTGAGATAGAAGAGAATTTAGTGTGAAAGTGCAGAGTTGACGATAGGAGCCACAGATGTAAAATGGATGGGTGACATACGCAAATAAATGCCAATATTAATATAAATATTTTTTTTTATCAAAATCTCTTTGTAATTACATACTTTCAAATTAAGAAACTAGATGAATACACTCTATCGAATTATGCTGTTGTTAATACATACATATGTAGATATATTTTTGTTATTTTTTTCTTCTCAGACTTACTACTAATGACTGACGGTTTTATTGACAATAAAAATATTTGTTTCGATTATTATCGACTACTTTTCCGATAAATGCAATGCACTTAAACTACTTTACATGAAATTGTAGTGTAATTAAATAAATAAATAATAAATAAATAAATAAATATATATAAGAAAAATGCAATTTGTAATGCTTTCGTTGTGCTCCTTTAAACCCAGTGTGGGTGGGCCAATCTCCTCGCCGTTTCATTCAAAATAACAACATTCGATTGAACATGAGCGGATCATTTATCTCGTAGTCGTGGTGTTTGAAGTACGGCCCCAGTTTGGACTGTACCTTGAGCGCTGTAATCGAAGAGCCCGACGGCACTTGACGTCGCACCTTGTAGGCAGACGAGGAGGAGGACGACGAGGCGGAGGAAGATGACGCAGCCGGCGCATGTTGTACGGTAAGAGAAGGTGCCTGTTGAGCTGCATATGCGACAGAGTGTTGTTGTGCGGCGTACGTATGTGACGGCGCTGCTACCGCAGCTGATGGTGCGGAGCCGGACGCTATTGCCTGTGGTCGTTGTGGTGGTTGTGGTGGTGATGGTGGTGGTGGTGGCACATATGTTGGTCTATACTCGTTATCAGCCTTATTTTGCGCTGGATCGAAGTATATATGCTTTGTTTTTTGCACAGAAGGTGGCAGATATTTGAATTGTTGATTGCTTGACTTCGCTGCCGTTCGCGGATCTACTTTGTAGACGCTCTTCTCAACGGCAAAATGTTTACTCACATTAGCTTGTGTGGCACCACGCCGTTTGGCCACCTCTAAAGCTGCAATAATGGGTGTCAGATCTTTCAACGCGCTGCTTGTTGCATGATAATTGTTGTAGTGATAACCGCCACCCTGATTGCCATTGCTAGCTGCTGGTGGATTCGTTGGCCGATAGTCATAACCCTCATTTGGGTGCTTTTGTATGTAAATCTCCTCCGCCGTTTGCTTCTTAGCCATTTGGCGGTAAATGTCCGCAGGATTTTCTGGCCCATTACCTGGACGCTGGCCATATGCTGCTGTTATGGACTCGGTGTGTGAAAGGGACTCCAGTGGTCCCAAATCATTCTGCAAGCCATATGTATGCAAGTCAGCGCTCTCATTTGTCAATTCAGCACCTGGGCCGGTGTGTGGCGAGTGGCTGTGTGTGTCCAGCACGACTGTTTTCGATGCGGTGAATTCTGTTTTGCCATTAGGCAGCAGGCTAAGGATTTCTTGTAGTTGCGCAGCAGCTTTGCGTGTATCCGCTTCGCTAAGTTTCTGATGGCGGCCATAAATGTTGAAGTCATCGTTTCCTGTAGGTTTTTGCGCACACCGATGAGTGTGGTTTTGTGTGGTGTGTATGTGTGCGTGGCGTTTGTGAATTAATTCGTTGCCGTTGTTGGTGTGATGTTGCAGTTTTGATTGTTTGTGTGATTTTATGGAAAACAGAAAGCATTAAAAACAAATTCAATTTTATTTCAGTACGAGTAGGTATTATTTTGTTGTGTAAAAATTTCATTTGCATGTTGTATGTTTGTGAATACCTAGGAATGTGTGTATGTATGTATAAGTAAATTGCGTGCTTACTCACTCACATTTTGGATGGAATTGTGATGGCCGATGGAGTATGAATAGAGTGAATAAGGGCCAATTGCTCAATGTCTGTTTACCACTAACTGCAGGTAAAACATAGTTATCGACGTGATCCGCTCCACAACATATAACAGGGAGTCGATAATGATGTTTAACCTGTAGTTAGTGTTAACTAGACATTTAAAAAGTGGCCCTTCGAGTTTAGCGCTTTTATTGATATGTACAGTGTTGGTAATGATTACAGAATAATGGATTTGTATGCGGCTGTGGGTATGTGTGTGTATAAGTTTTTCACATTTAACACTTTCTAGAGGTCATATTTGCGGAGTCGGGGCTTATGTACAAGAAGATTTACATACTTATTTGTACAAATTTGATGCGACATATTATACAAATTTCATTAGTTTTGCATCAAACAGTGATTAGTTCGTGAAGATAAACTTAAAATTATTTATTAGTATAAGCGACACAAACTTAAAAATTTACTTATAATGTCGACGGCCCTCTGCAATAGCGGGACTGAATATTAAAAAAACCATTACTATTTACTTGAGTAATTCTTAAGAATTAGACATAGATCAGTTAAGGATTAGAAACGTGAGACACTTAAGGTTTCTTTCTTTATTTGAATTGTGTCGTTATTGCAGAGGGCCATCGATATGAGTATCTATGATGAAATATAAAAAAATATATATACAAATTTGGGTGAGCGGACAGGTACATGAATTTATAAAGAAGCGCATTTCGGTGTTAAATTTGTGGGGGAGAAGAGACCTCACTGTTAATTACTGTCGACCGGCACGTGGGATGACCGCCTCGACGCAATCCGCATCAAAGCGAAATTATTTAACGTCTGGCTCATTTCCGTCCACGCCGGATGGGAGAAAAATACAAGGCAAGGCGAATGTGTACAAGGTGGTGTTACTGGCGAATTTTGATTTTCGCCGCGGTACTTCTGAATGTCAAAACGATGTGTTTGCGAATTTATATTACAAAAAACACAGTAACACCACCTTGTATAAATTCGCCTTGGTACAAGGCAACCAAAGACATCGCCTAAATCTTGCTTGGCGATTTAAAGGCAAGGGTGGGTTAGGAAGAGATCTTTGGTCCCACCGTCGAAAAATTAAGCCATCACTACAAAAGATTCGACCACGGACTGAGGAAGATTGACGTCGCTGGGGTACAATGAAGTCTGCAGCACTAGGTTTTAGCATAAGAAGATATATTAAGCCACATGGGTCTCTTCGTATCGAAGAATAAGAAACCAAAATTAACCATACTGTGATGCCGAAAGAGAACTTCGTACGATAAGAAGCACAACTATTGCGGACACGCAGCATCTTCAGCACTCGTCTCTGGCACATGCATCCAGAGCATAATCGTCAATGAATCGATATATGCGATTAGAGCGGCCAAATTTTCTTTCCAATACGTACTGTCGTAAAAAAAATAAGTCGGATTTTAGTAAGCTCAAAAGAACAAGCCCAGAAAGGAGACTATCGGGTAAATTTCTTGTGATTTAACCAAATATCCTACCAGACATTTCAGTGAAAGATCCTATGAGCTGCTCAAAGCCGAATTGTCAAAACTACCCGAAACTTCTGTATAAGTGTAAGCTTTTCTCCTTGTTTTATTAACATACTTAAGCGGCATGTGTGTACTTGATTGTTGATTAAAAGATACATTTTTTCAACGTATTAGAGTTTTGGGAAGTTGCGTCTTGTCGGGACTTTTAGGCTAAGAATAATAAGGAAGCTGCAGAGAAAAATATGCCGGATCGATATTGGGGACTGAAGAGGGAAGCCAAATGTTTTTTGCTAATTAACAAGAGAGATGCCAAAATACGTGAGTGCAAAGAGCTTGAGTGGTTGGCCAATTAGAAAAGGAAGGTTTCAAGGCAGGAACGAATTTATGTAAGAATAACAAGGCCGTTCTAGTGTACTGTGTCCAGAGTGTGCTTACTCTATCGACAGCGATGGAATCTATGTATGTTCCTAGCCAACTATAACGAAGTGCGAATATCCATTTTCCAAGTTAGAAAACAATCAAGCTGCTGGAGATGACGGCCTGCCAGCTGAGCTATTCGAAGTACAGCAGTGAAGAGTTGGAGAATATATCAAATCTTATGCAACTGGAGTTCTGTATTAAACCCGTCTAAAGTAAGTTAAGCGGTTCTCTATTTTTAACCTACTTCAAAAAAAAAAAAGAAGAGGAATGTTATCTATTCCTCGGAATATATTCTTTTAGTGTAAATATGTTAACGGATAACTTTGGACCAATGGAAACATTTGCGATTATTCTATTTTTATATTTATGATTTTTGTCTTTTGATAACAAAATTCAATACATCTTCATGTCGATGGTCCTCTTCAATAACGACACAATTCAATATTTCAAAAATAAAAACTCTTGCTACTGTTAGCTGGTTCTTCTTTCTAATCCTTCTCTAATCCATGTTCACACCCTACTAAAGTAAGTAGTAGTAAGGATTGGTAAAGTAAGTACTAAAGTTTAGATATAGTTTACTGTTAATAGTTTTATTTTATGTTTTGGTCATGACCAGCATTTGTTACTGTATGAAAACTATATAAAATAAAACCGGTTTATCCGTTTTTTTTTTTAATTTCAAAATCGGGAACGGTTCTTTTGAAACTACCATTTTCCGAATAACTCGAAAACCGGTTTTGGAAAAAGGGGAATAATCGAACACCCTAATGTATACATAAGCCCTTCTGTGCACATCGACTATGCGATCGGTCTTTTTTCGCCACACATATTTTACATATACATATACTTATATCGTTCAATGAACAACTAAATACATTTTTAGTTATGAATAATGAATAATTTAAATAAACAATATATAACTTATGTATACATATTGACACTTTTTCTTAATCTCTTTCGTGCTTTTAAATTTACTTTGTAAAAAATTGCATGAGGTACACTTAAAATACAAACACCGGAACTATGCTTCATTATTAAAATAAAAGTACATAAACAAATTTAGCTTTCGTTTGAAGCGATAAAATTTGAATAGAAAAAAAGTTAGCAAAAAATAAACAAAACCAAAACCAAGAGCAAAAGCAAAACGAAAATTGTTTTACTTTTTCAATCTGAAGGAAGGCGTCCTAATAAGCTGCCAATCTAAATCGCAGCGATTGTGGTGCTCAATAACAAGAGAAGAACTGTCTTAATTAAGGTTGTATTTAAATTTTTAAACAAGTGGCAACCCTCCTGAGTTTAGTCGATTGATACGCATATTGTAATAATTGATTTAACTATTTAATTAATTTGAAATAAATCGTTTAATATGTGGCAACTACTTTTGAAAAAGTAAAACCCTACTTATTAATTTGACATCTTATTTTTGAAAATGAAGCGAACTGAAAAAAAAAATCACTTCGCTTATTATCTATGTATGTCGATTCTCCATTGCTGGCCTACCAGAAGTACTCGCTGAGTGGAGAATGTGGAGAAGATATTAGACTGAGACCGAAAGATATGAGACAACATGATAAGTGACGGAGACCCTAATACTTGACGCTACGTGAAATATGTACTTACATTCAGTACCCCCATAACTTTACGCGCATTTTTGTTTCGTTAACTTTTGTTAAATATTTAACCCAGTTATGGGCATTTTATTTGCCAAGTAATTAGTTTTCGGTGGTATTTCATTTAATCATGGCACACTGGGTGTGCTACGTACATAC